CTTTTTTACAGCAGCTATTTTGACATGACATAGTAGGTTAAACACAGGTGTTACCAATGATACTAATTGAGATTTTGTTCCATTCAGGCCAAACAGGGTCAGGATGCTGCTATTGTGCATGTTGGCTAGCATGGCTCTGGTACACTGAATGGAACATAGCCCTAATTAGTAGAAGAAGTAGAAGAACTACTGTTTATCTTACAAGTACATTGGCTAATTATATTTGTGCAGTGGTGTGCTGTACTTAAGTACAGTTTTAAGGTACTTGTACTTTGCTTATATGTTTCAAAGGGAAAACACAACACAACATTTATCTGATGGCTGTACTGTCTTTTCAGAGGAAATGATTTGCACACCCACAGGTGTTTTCTCTGACTGATTAGACCTATAGTCCGGGTGGGGCTATGTTGGGTTTTGCATGTTGTCACCAAACTCTATGCACTAATAAAATAAATAATAACTAAGATTATTATTACTGCTCTGTATGCAGCTAAGTAGAGCAACTGAAACCGCTGTTTTTATCATCTACATTGGAAATTATTTGTCCCCATGGATTAACGTTAGCTTCAACCAAACCAGAGTTGGTGACTGTTGGAAAGACAAACCATCCAGTGGCAAGTGAATTTTGCATATATAACCTTAAAGTTATATAGTTATATATGTAAATTACATAGATGATGACTGTTTTGACAAGATTTGTCATCAGGTTTATAAAAACTTGCTGGAAGTGCTTACCTTCAGAGCAGCTCTCATGATGGAAGGGACGGTAGCAGTCACACTGATAGCTGATCCACTGGTCCACACAGCGTCCATGTCCGTTGCAGGGGTCAGGCGTGCACCATTCAGTCTTACTGCATCCCAGCTCATGGCCATGGTCCTCTGGAAGTGTTTGGGGTAGGATAGGCTTAGAGTCGATCATCAGGTCTTCCATACATCCAATGAAGTCTGCTCCACTAACAGAGTACTCTAAAAGCTCCTCCGGTGCTCCACCTACATAAATATCAGTAAAGGCTTCGGAGGGCTGGAAAGGTGGTTCGTCAGCACCACCATCTACAACTTTGCATCCGTCCTTGTCACAGCCAGGTCCTTTCACAATCAAAACCAGACCTTCATTATCTACAAACACATGAGCATCTCGCCAGTCTCCGTCACTAACCAAACCAGAAAATGTCACATCCATTTCAGACTCCTCAGAAAAGGCTTTTGCATGAAGACCACCATTGACGAGCTCCAGGAGGAGGTGATTGTCCATATCCCCTCTGTAGAAGAGCAACATATTGGGTAAAGTTGTCCGAAACCGTAGCTGTACCCCAAAACCACGATGAACATGGTGCTCAACCTCCCTACGGATCCTTTCTTCGAGAACAACCTGGATGTGAACGAATCCAGGAGTGGAGAAGGAGAACGTCGTTCTTGTGGAACACTGCTCATCGTAGAAGCCGTGAGGGCACAAGCACGTGTGACCGTGTTCTCCATCCTCTAGCCATGGGTGGCAGGTGGCTCCATTCTGGCACTCGTGGTCCACACAGCCGTAGAGTTTCACATCACAGTGGTCACCCCCCCAAGGAAGGTCACCTGGTTCTGCCTCAGGACAGTGGCACGTGTAGGACGCCCTGCCGTCTTCACACCAGCCACCATTCTGACAGGGCTGGCTCTCACATTCATCAATGTTCACCTCGCACAGCTCACCTGGAAAGAGACAACATGATTTGATAAACTGGTGTATACTAAAGGGTTCCAGAGCTGGACTGGAAAAGAAAGGGAAGAATGGTGTTGCTGTTTGTTTTTTTCTCTATTTTTCTTGCTGTCAACAAATCACATGAAAAGACCAAAACCCATGTGTTAATGTGTTAACTACCCTACTCTCAAACTCTAGCCTCAAAATATATGGTTCAAAGATGATCACTGTAGTGTATACTCTCAAACAGCAGGAAATCATACACTTGTTGGGAGCAATTTTCAGCAGTGGATTAATACACACTTTGTCTAGAGAATATATATTTCTTTTTTGTGTACTTTAAAGGTCCAGTATGTAGGATTTAGTGACATTTAGCGGTTTAATTGCAGATTGCAACTGACTATGCAATAGACTTTTTTAACGCAGCCATTTTGACATGAAATAGTTGGGTAAATGCAGGTGTTACCAATGATACTAATTAGGGTCCATTCTAGAGCCAGTGTTTGGTTTGTCCATTCTGGGCTACTGTAGAACATGGTGGTTCAACATGGTGGACTCGTGGCCTCTGTAGAGCCCTATTTCTATATATGTCTTAATAAATGTCTGACACAGATGCTTCTGTCCATTTGTTAAAGGTGCAAGACTCACCTAGAAATCCAACAGCGCATGTACAGGTGTAGCCATTGATCTTATCCTCACAAGTGCCTCCATTCTGGCAGGGTTCAGACTCACACTCATCAATGTTGACGGAGCAGTTCTCTCCTGTAATGTGAAATAAATTCAATAATTGTTAGAAGATCTAAAAAGGTGTGAGAACTGAGATTTTTGCTGACTGGTTTCTTTAGTCTTACTGACCCGCAAACCCGGGCTGACACTGGCAGATATATCCAGCAGCGTCTGCATAGCTGAGCTCCCAGTCCAGATCCCAGTGAGATGGATCTGAACGCTCAAAACACTCCCCACCGTTCTCGCAGGGCTCCTCGGCACACTCATCTATATCAACCTCACAGTTTGCTCCCTCGTAGCCTGGAAAAAACAAGAGACACGTTCCACACACAGTGGATTGAATGTTTTGGTGTTGAGTGAATGAATGCAGATGGAACTCTCAGAAAAAAACATGTACACTGTTATGTGTATTAGTTGCAAGTCAGTTGATTTCTCCTCTGTTAGCAGCTTGTGTCTCACTGGAAATTACACATGCTGTGTGAGTATCAAATTTACGCTTCCTAAATCCCACCCCTTATAGCTCTGTGCTGCAATAATAGTTTAGCAAGCCTTGGTCAACTTCCTCCTTGCAGGAGGGATTGAAAAACCAACCTTCCAATTAGCAAACGACCCGCTCTACCTGTGAGCCACAGGCGCCCCCGTTAGCTGACTAGCTAGCTAGTGTTTTGCTACAGCATTGTTAATTACCATAAAAAATGTTTTGAGCTGATCAGGGAGGGAAAAATATCACAAGCTAGCTAATCATAAGCTTAGGTAGTGTTTTGTTAACATTAGCTAAGCTAAGATGTATATGTTACTTTTATTTATATCTTTTTACCATCTTCAAAATGTTGTTGTCTTTTAAACATAGATAAGCCTAGCACATAGCATATCTTAGTACAGACTTAGGAAAAGGTCAATTGGTTGTGTAAAAACCTACAGCTAAAAGTGCTCCAGGCTGAGAGGGACATTGGCTCAGCTCACAACCTTTGCATGTCTTTGTGTTTTTACAGAAATGTTCAGTGTGTAGCATGTAGTTCAGTACCTGGCCAGCAGAGGCAGGTGTATCCTCTGACTCCCTCTAAACACGTGGCACCATGCTGACAGGGATCAGAAGCACACTCAGGGATGTCCACTTCACAGTGGTCACCCTCAAATCCCGTATCACTGCAGTCACATTCATAGCTGCAAAAGACACAAATGAGATTGTATACAGCAAGATATCACAATTCCAACAGTGAGCAACTGAACAGCAACCACCACAAGGTTTATTCAAAGCACTTGGGACTGACATGCCCACAGCTTAGAAATTTGCCACCTTGGCTGGAAGCTGGAGTTAATGCAGACATGGCTGAAGACCAGGTTTGGGAGGGTTCCTTTACAAAAAATTACTAATTACCTATTATAAAATTTAGTCAGTAACTTAATTACATATCACAATATTAAAGTAACTTGATTACTTTCTGTTACTTTTGTATTACCTCAACACTAAATATTTAAATAAAGACAAGAGAAAGGAAATTTCAATAAGAACTAAATATTTACATCAAAATGTGTCCCCTGCTCAGTGTATTTTTAAAAGAAAAACTCAGCCAGCAGCCTATAGAGGGGTCTAAAAGTCAAATGTCTTGGGGCCAATGCTGGCATTGTCATCTCATAGGAGGGTCACTGTGTCACAATGATCAAGTGCTACAAGAAAGTGTAATATTCTGAAAATATTTTATATTATCATTTTGTATCATCTTTGTTTTCACAGCCAAACAACAAATGAAGGCCTGAGACCTGATCAACCGTTTGCACCCATTTGCAGGGACCTTTGACCTTTGCCAGTATTTTACGCCAAATTAAATACGTTGTTAAACACGTAATTGTGTGGGTGCCTGGTTAGCTCAGTCGGTAGAGCTAGAAACCCACATACGGAGTTGCTGCAGTGGCCTGGGTTTGAATCCGACCTG